TATTATGAGAATGAAATGTAACATATATATGTATATACATATATATATATGCCAAATTAAAAGCTAATTTTTCCTACTGTACCTTAGACCTTCAACCATTTTCCATTCATTATAAGACCAAATAAAAGTTAGAGAAAACTCATGATTTAAGATGATTCTGATAATAGAATTGTAGACTACTACAAAACAATACTTATAAAACTTGTTAAAAGCTTATGTTCTTCACATGGAAATAAAATGCTAGATTAGTAAATATCTGCAAAATAAATTGACACTTTGGAAAAGAAGTTCAAGTGCAAATGGTGAAAGCCTTTGAAATTATTATTGATTATAGAAACACATATTTATTTATAATTATTTTATATTGACTGACAAATACATACTAATATATGTACAATAAATTATTCATATATACTAATACATATATAATATTTGTGCATAGTGCCACTATGAAAGAGCAATACCTATATAAACAAATAATACATATACATGTATACAGAACTCAGCTTTCTCCCCAAGGTAGATTCCACTTTTACATGTATTTAGGAATCTGGTTGTATTTTTGCATCTTGTGAAATGGACTGAATGGAAGTAAATAGCATCATTTTCTACTTATTTTGTGAGATATCCAGGACTTCCCATGATAGTCTGCTGGAGTTTACAGTTGGCAAGTCTCACTGCAGAGTCTAGAAACACTGTCATTTGCATTGTTCTCCTTGGTTCAAGTTCAGATATTTAGGAGTCAGAAATAAAGTAAGGGTGGAGCACAAAAGACTTGAATGACATAATACATGTTCTTCAACTACTACAAATTTCAGAATGTATCATGAATGCCCACTATAAACAGGAAGGAAGGAGATAATGTCTAAAGCTTTGCAAACTAATGGACCACACAGAAATTACTAAGTTTCTATTAGTAATGCATTTTAATTCTAGTATTTTGGGGAGACTTTTACATGTCTCTATTAAATGAACACCAATAAAGTCATTTAATCAGAGTATTTTATTCTATGATATTCTATGACATGAAGAAAAACATTTAGTTTGAAAACTGAAGTTGAGGTTTTCTCTGCATATTTATGTTTGTTATTTATAGGGAAAAAAAACAACCACAAAAGTAAATCAACATTTGCAAAGAGGCTCTTATCTCTGACTTTGCTTCCACTTACATTTTATCTAATTCTTATTTATGCTGTTTTCAGTTTATTCCAAACCTAATTGTGCATCAGAATGACTTCTGATTTGGATTTGGTAGCATGGATGCCTTTGATGAATGTTTTTGTAGACTCTGCTGGAATTTGATTCATATTTAGCAGCTGACAGTTTAAACATCCTCCTCCTTAATACATGTTCTTTGGTTTTCAGGTCCCTCCTAGAAATATAACTTACTCACAACCCCCATGCACTTAAAATTACCTCTAGACACATTCTAGTAACATTCTAATGCAATGTGAGTACTAGGTAACTAGTTGCAATACTATATTGTCTAAAAGTAATAGTGCAAAAAAGAGTCTGTATGTTTGGAACAGACAATTTATAACGTTTTTGATCAGCAGTTGTCTGACTTGGCAAATCTGGACCTTTAGATAGTATGAAAGGGATGATTGTAGTTTTGCAAAATTTTCCGGGTAATTCTCTTCTGACAAAACTGCGATTCTACATTGTTGTTCTACTAAAAAATTGACCTAAAACATATCACAATATGATGAAAATATATTAATACCCAACTATATAGATAACACCAATATATATATAAAACAACCAAATAACTATAACCAACTGAATTCCTTGCTCTGAATTTAAAATTATATATTTTAGTAAACTATAGTAGAATAAATAATAAGTATAATTCAAAAGAAGATATCTTATATAGATTTTTGCTTGATTTTATTGTATTCATGATATGAATATGTTTTTGATACTAAAAAGGGAATGAACTGTTGAGAACTATTTGAGAGAAGTTGGTAAGATTTTATTATGGTTTTAATGTGACACCTACAATGCATATGTTAAAGTCATTATCTCCAGTATCTCAAAATACAATAGTAATTATCAATAGAGTACTTAAAATGACATATTTAAATGAGTTAATTATGATGGAGATGATGTAAGAAAAAAGTTGTACCCAGATATATACAGAAAATCATGATGGGGAAACCTGCAGAGATGACCAAACCAAACCAGTAGGAACTCATGAAAGTTGGATTAATGGCTGTGGAACCTGCATATGACTGGACTAGGCCCTCTGTGTAGTGAGACAGTTTGTAGCCTGATATGCTTGGGAGACCCCCTAGCACTAGGATCAGAATCCATCTCTGGTGCATGTGCGGGCTTTGTGGAGCCCACAACCTAAAATAGAACACCTCCTGCAGCCTTGAGGCAGGGGGAAGGGCTTGGACTTGCCTCTACTGGACGTGCCTCCCCATGGGAGGCCTTGCCTTCTTGTAGGTGGGAGTGGGGGTGGGCAGGGAGGAGGAGCTTAGGGGGTGGGAGAAGGGGAGAGGGAGATCTTTGATTGGTGTGTAAAATGAATGGAAAAATTTTCTTGTTAAAAATTTTTAAATTATTTTTAAAGAATATAAAAAAAGAAAAACATTTCAAGTACCCATCATTAGGGCAAAAAGAGAGTGTTCAGAAGAAATGAAGTTTGCGGATATGCCAGTCTTCAGAATATAACAATAAATGAGAAGCCATAGTAAGCTATTACAGTCACAGAAGCTACAGTAAGCTAATATAGATGATAGTATTTTGGAAATTATGTTTTTTTTTTAGTTGCAAATTACTCTTGTCAAGGCGTTTTAAGAATTGTATACAATTGTGGTATATTTGTTGTGTTATAATTTGAGTCTGAGATGTCATCTAAGTTCATATTCATATTCAAGGCTGAGTCAATGTGCTTAGAATGTATCTATGTCCTGAATGAATGGATGCATTCATATTATGATGATGTTATGCCATTAATGAAAGGTGTTCGAAGTAGGAGGTGGTGCTTTTATGGAGGCAGAAAGTAAATTACTGGGTTAATTCCCTGGGAAGATACATAATGTCAATTCCTGCCTCTCCACCCCCACTCTCTTCTTCTTGAACACCTCAAAGTAAGCAATTCAACCCCCCATGGGCCCAGAAACAATAACAAGGATGGGTTCAGTGAAACCTCTTAATTTGTGAGTTAAAATAAATATTTATTTATTCTAATTTTCTTATTTAATGTTACTTTTGCCATAGTAAACACTATCTAACAGCCTCTACACAAAATTAGAAAATATAACATATCTGGAGAAAGATCAAGGTGGTGTCCAAAAAAAAAAAGCTTTACTCCCACTGACATTTATAGTGCTGAAAGGAGCTATGTACATTACTCTAGGAGAAAAGTTATTCTCTATTTCTTCCAGGTACAAAAGCACACAGATATACAACAACAACTAACCACAAGATATGCTGGTACCATAAAGTGGCACAACTGCTATATGAGTATCAAACTACCTTTGAAAAACTGGATTTAAGCTGAATGCTGCAATCAGCTGGAGCTACATACATGTGGCCAGACTGCTTGTGACTCAGGCTAGAGCACGTGGCCAGAATCTCTTTGGTGTTCTCTCTCCTAGTGGGTGGTGGGCTCCCTCTCTATTTTGCTGTCTCTCTTTCTCTTTCTCTGTCTCTGTCTGTCTCTCTCTCTCTGGATTTCCATCTTGGAATGCCACCACACTAGGTAGCTGCTTTGAAATTCCCTCTGACTTCTAATGTTCTATGTAGACTTACTTAGTCAATTAATATATCTTAAAGGGAAAAACTAGTCAAAAGAGAAATTTTCCCACATTAAAAAATGGAAAATATTTTTACAATGGAAGGAAATTGGTCTTTGTTTGATAACACATTAGGTAGTCTAAAAATGGAACAATTAAAGGAGAGGATCAGTTATGAATATTATTTAAGAATCATTATTTTAGTATTAAAAAGGTTGGTTAATTTAAGTGCCAAGATAAAAGATTTAGAAAAGCTTGTTAAAATGACTTATAGAGGAATTCAGATCCAGGCAGAAGAATTTAAAGGTGAAATTATTTCAGCATTGAATGATATGGTTACAGAGAGACAACCAAACCTAATCTATCCAGTAACCTTACAGGAACTACCTGCTCAAGAGCATGTACAAGCTAATTGTATTCCAGTGGAAATGTTAGATTTAAGGAGATTTAAGGAAGCTATTTTATCATATGGCATGCATTTTTTATTTGTAAAGCAAATGTTAAAGTCATGGTCAACTTGTAATAGGATTATTCTTCAAGACTGGAAAGAACTGGTAACAGCTATCCTGGAGACCATGGCACAATTACAGTAAAGAACATGGTTTAAGGAGGAGGCTAAAATAATAGAACAAAAATGGAGATCTAGAGGTATGGAAATTATCCAGGATCAGCTGCTTGGAGAAGGCAAATATGCTGATATACAAAGACAATGTTCATATGATAAACAACATTAATTCTATAATGTATGGCATCCGTGAATACATGGGACAGAATTGAGGAAGCAGGAAAAAAATTGAATCATTTATAAAGGTTATACTGGACGCCAGCACACAGCTCTGCTGGTGGTGGGCAAGAGCAGGAGCGGGGGAGGTAAAAGCCGGTGCCATGGTGAAGAAGGAAGAGGCTAGTGGTGGCGGCACCAGTGAGGAGGAGGCAGCACAGTGTGACTGGGAGATCTGCCTGTGGGGACTGGAGGCCCAGAAGCAGCTTCGAGCTTCCTGGGTGCTGACTGTTGGCATGAAAGGGCTTGGGGCTGAAATTGCCAAGAACCTTATCCTGGCAGGAGTGAAAGGACTGACCATGCTGGTACATGAACAGGGACTTGATGTGAAGAAGATGGGATGCTGAGATGAAGCCATCCACAAGCCAAGAACAATAGGCAGCCAAATTCCAAAAACACCAGCAATTTCTAGAATTTAAAATCCTGAATCATGACAGGACACTGGCAGAATTCGGATTTATCTGTTACATGGAATATTCAAAGTGAATGTGAGGTTGAGCTGTAGGCCTTGTGTACATCCTACTTCACAAATGAGTCTGTCAGATATGCTAAGCCTCTCGGCCAAAGATGATGCCCCAATGTGCAGAGAAACCTCATGATTTTCCAGGTATCCAGCTATCTCTGTCATTCTAGATTTTTGGAATTTGCTTACAATGCACTTCCTATTTATTTAGATAGTATATCCTTCTGAGGTCTTTGATGTAGCTGAACACCAGATAAGTTAGATATGAAACCTTAGACTCAGAAATATAGGGTAAATAGAATATTTTCTTTGAATTTGCCAAATATAAGTAGACTAGCTATTATAACCGTAATTCTTGCTTGATAACTGTTTTGTTATATTTAATTTTACTGTGTTAAAGTTACAACTTTCCTTTTTGATTAAACAGAAAAAGGTAAATGCTGTGGTATAATGATTTTGTACAATGGTTTAATAAAATGCCGATTGGCCAGTAGCCAGGCAGGAAGTCTAGATAGGATACACAGACAAAAATAATTCTGGAAAGAGGAAAGCTGAGTCAGGAGATGCCAGCCTGCCATCCAGGGAGCAGCATGTAATGACACACAGGTAGAGCCATGTAACATGTGGCAATATATAGATGAACAGAAATGGGCTGAGTTTAAGTGTAAGAGCTAGTCAGTAGTTAGCCTGAGCTAATGGCCAAGCAGTTTTAATTTATAGTGATATTTTATTTGTACTGAAATGTGACTTGTATGTTAATAAATAAAGTTGCCCAGGGGTCAGAGCTATTAGCAAGCCATAGTGAAAGCTGGGTGGTGGTGGTACATGCCTTTAATCCCAGCATTTGTTAGGCAGAGCTAGGTAGATCTCTGTGTGTTCAAGGATACAGCTAGTATAGAGACATATGCCTGTAATTTCAATACCAACCATAGAAGACCTAGAGGTCTGTACAGACAGGCAGTGACGAGGCAGTCATGTGGTTGGGTTTACAACCAATGAGAAGGCAGAACAGAAAGTTTTTATAAAGACAGACACAAGGAAGTAGCTCTCTTTCGGAGAGGTAGGACCACCTCAATAGTGAAGGGTAAGATTTTTAGCTCTTAGCTGTTGCTCTGACCTCTTGGCTTTTATCTCTATATTGGCTCTGTGTTTCTTATTTAATAAGACGGTTGGTTGCTTCTATATTTGGCACCCAATGTGACAAGGATCCATTAAAAACTGCTTGGTTTGCCTTGGCGGCAGGTGTGGTTCCCACCTGGGCTGCCTGGCTCCCTAGCTCAGGCCCAGGTCGGCTTGGTCTCAGGCTGGACTGACCGTAGCCCCAAGTAGTTACATGCATCTGGAGGTACTTGCTTAAAGCTGGTGCTACAAATAACTCAGGCCTGGCTTGCCGAACAGGGCCCCTGCCTGTAAAGCCAATACACATGGTCGGATCTTAAGAAAGCCAGAGCCCAGGCTTGACTCAGCTCAAGCGGGAACACGTGGCTGGATTTAAGCTTTTAGCCAGAACTTGTGGCTAAGCTTTCTTGCCCTTTCTTTCTTTCTTTCTTTCTTTCTTTCTTTCTTTCTTTCTTTCTTTCTTTCTTTCTTTCTTTCTTTCTTTCTTTCTATCTTTCTTTCTTCCTTCCTTCCTTCCTTCCTTTCTCTCTCTCTCTCTCTCTCTCTCTCTCTCTCTCTCTCTCTCTCTCTCTCTCTCTCTTCCCCCCCTCTCTCTCTGGATTCACACCTCAGACACTAGGTGGCTGTTTTGAAATTCCTTCGGATTTCTATTGTTCTATGCAGACTTGGAAAGTCAATTAAGATATCAGATATTTTAAAGGAAACTATTTAAAAGAGAATTTTTTCCACATTAAAAAATGGGTTTTATGTATACATTGGAAGAAAAAATGGAATTTGTCTGAAATTTTAGGCAGTCTGACAATGGCACAACTATATGAGAAGATTAATATTGATCGAATTATGCACTTTATTACTTTTCTTGCCTCATTGTACTATTTAAAAAGATAGTCAATTCAAGTGCCAAGATAAAAGCTTTAGAAAAACCTGTTAAACCTTTTAATGAATTTAATGAATTATAGAAAAATTCAAATTCAGACAGAAGAAATTAACAGTGTAGTTGTTTCAATATTGGATCATAAGGTTACATAAAGAAAGCCTGTTTTCACACAGTCACTATTAATTTATCCGGTACCCATAATGCAGTTGCCTAATCAAATGACTACACAAAATATTTGGGCTCCAATTGAAATGTTAGATTTACAAAGGTTTAAGGAGGCAATAGTATCTTATGGCATTCATTCCTCATATGTAAAGCAAATGTTAAACTCCTGGTCAACATATAATAGGATTATACCACAGGATTGGTGGGAGCTGGCACAAGCTGTTCTTGAACCCAGCCAGAGGCTTCAATTTTTAGCTTGGTTCTATGTTTTTAGCTTGAAACTAAAAACATAGAAAAACAATGGAGGGATAAAGGAATACAAATTTGCCGGGATCAGCTTATTGGAGAAGGCCAATATGCTTCAGTACAAACACAATGTTTATATGATGTCCAAACCCTAATTTTATGTCGAATGGCAGCCTTGAACGCATGGGACAGGGTTGAGGAACCAGGAAAAAAACTGAGTCATTTACAAAGGTTATACAGGGCCCAAAAGAATCTTTCACAGATTTTTTTTTTAAAGACTAAGTTTAGCAGTAAATAGAATGGTCCCGGATTCAGAAGCTAGTCAGATAATAATTGAATCTTTGGCCTTTGAGAATGTGAATGCAGCATGCAAAAGAATAATCAGGCCATTAAAGGCAAGATCTGCACCCTTGGAAGATTGGATTAGAGACACTGTTAATGTTGAGGATCATGACCATGATAATATGTGGGTAGGAGAAGCAATTTCAAAAGGTTTGGGAAATGTTAGATGTTTTGGATGTGGAAAGCAAGGACATTTGAAAAGGAACTGTAAACAGGTCATTCCCAGAAACAATGTTTCTTCAAGGAACACTGGCAACAGAATGTCCCTTCCTTCTGGAGTATGCAGAGGGTGTGGTAAGGGAAAACACTGGACCAATGAATGTAAATCAACAAAGGACAGACAGAGTAATCCTTTGCTTCAGTTTTCAGGAAACTCCCAGAGGGACCTCATGCAGGCCCCCATAGCAAATCCAGTTCAAACCTTTCCTGCAGCCATAGAAGAAACCCCTACTCAGAGCGATTAAATAACCAAATACCTATTGGAATAAATCATGCTCGTGGGGATGATGAAACAGAGAGAATAGAAAATTCAGGAGAAAACATAAAGAAAATTTTTTGGCAAACTTCTATTAATGAACAAAGACCAAAATTAACGATATAAATAAATGGTGTTTTGTTGTCTGGTCTGGTAGACACAGGTGGGGACATTACCATAATAGCACCAGAATTTTGGCATCCAACTTGTCCTCTTCAGGAGGTAATCATTCAACTGTTAGGAATTGGCATATTATTTCAAGTGCAAGATGGCTCGAATGTATAAGTCCAGAAGGACAGAGAGGAAAATTAAAACCATATGTAGCTAACATAGCTATGAACCTGTGGGGTTGGGACCTGTTGCAACAATGGAATACTCAGATTAACATCCCTCCAATCTCAGAAACAAATTATAAACTAGCACATGTTTCTGAGAGAAATATTAGAAGATATTATTCTAATGAGTGGTCACCAGCCATCCATATTATACAAGAACAGGGCACAACAACTGATG